TTAATAAATCTTAAATAAATATTCAATTATATTTTTAAAACTTTAATAAATCCTTTTAAATCATTAATAAAATTTTAAATAAATATCTAATAAATTTCTCTTAAAAATTTAAAACTCACCTCAAATTTAAAATTTTAATATTCTAATGCAAATGGTATATTACCCAATTTTAATTCAATTTCTAGACTTTAATTTAAATTTTATGCAAACTTGTACTTAATAGTTTATTAGTTATGACTTTAATATAACTTCTAACTCAACTTAGACTCCGGCTTCTCTAAATATATATTTATATATGACTTAAGAGAATTGCATTATTATCTTAATATCATTTTCTTTATATTATAAAATTGTTAAATTCTTTAATAAACATTCATAAATATCAAATAATTATTGAATAGGCTTTTTAAAATCCAAATTCAATTATATTTTTTTTATTAATTTCCTAGTATTCAGAAGCCACATTGGGTTTGATTAATCCGAAATCAAGTCGCGTTGGATCCTATTAGAGGGAAACTCTCCAAACAGTTGTTTTTTCATTCACAAGACTCAAACTCGAAATTTTATTTAAAGGAATTGAACTTTTTCCACTCGAACCAATAGATTATTGGTAATTCAATTATATTTTTAATAAGCGTAAATACTAAATGAGTTTGTCTAAGGGTACAAGATAAGAATGTATTAAATATATCTTTTGATCATAAATTTATATTAAAAAATAAAAATCAATTTTTAATTTATCAATTGTCGAATTAAATTTACTTGATATTAAAATTAATATCAAATTTTGCATTTTTTATATATATATTTATAATAAAAAAATAAACTTAACTAAAAAATATCATACCAAATTTAATCCTTAACCTTTAGTATAAATACTAAATATTATCCCAATTCTTTAACTTAGACCAAAAATGGTCCCCAACCTTCTCAAAATTACCAAACTTAATCCTACAATTAGTTGTTTCCACTACACTATAATTTTTATATAACTTTATAAATACTAAATATTTTGCATCTGAAATTGTTGTTGCGTTGCTTTGAGCATGAGAGATTCATCACATGGTGTCTTCTAATAGTTGATTTGTCATCACCGCTTGACATGATTGAAACTTGCAACGAATGTTAGAAACAAAGGAATAAAAGAACCTTATAACACTCCCTTACGTGTTTCACTCCACTCTCTCACAGAATGGCACTTAATGCTAGTGTTTTGCACACTGTAAAACTTGGCTTTTCTCTCAAGTGTTGCTCACACCTCTTGCCATTTTCCCTCACTCAACTTTCCTCTTTCAGTTCGTTATTGAACTAAACAAGCTCTATTCAAGTTATTTTGCGGCAATCTAACTCCAACAAATCTACAACAAGAGTTAAAGGAAATAGAAAGACACAAAGGAACGAATAAGAAAAGCAATAAAAGAACCAAACCCAAACAAATTAAAACAAATAGATCAGTTCAAGCACTTCCTAGTAGTAATTGACTTGACTACTCCTTAATGCAGTAGGATTCCTAACCTAGGAAGAAATAAACAAAATTTGCAATCTCCTTGTTTGAATAGAACTCAAAGAGAATTTGCAACTCTTTATTGTAGTAAGATTCTTTCTTCCAACTCCTTATTGGATTAGGATTCCTTCTTCTTTAAGGATTTGACCATAGATTTTTTCTCTATATAAGGAATTCCAACCACAAAATTGTGTTGCTTGTTTCTCTCTCTCCTTTTTTTTCTTTTATTTTTATTTTTTTGCATCTTTTTTTTTTGGTGATCCTTTTCTTTTTTTTTTTATTTCTTCCCTTTTTTTTCTTATTTTCATGCTTTCTCTCTCTCTTTCTCTCTTTTTTTTTGAACCAGCAACACAAATTCAAAAGAGTAAAATAAGAAAGAGAAGAATGACACTGAAAACCATTTTTGTTTTGTTTTGTTTTTGATGATAAAAACTGAAAATTAAAGATACGCAAACCTCATTTAGGATATGATGCTTTAATACCAAGATGATAATAACCCCAAAGAGAACAATGAGACCCACACGACAAGTGATTTCTAAGCTCCAAGAAAGCCAAATCAGGTTTATAATAGGACCTTAACTCGCTATCTATGTTGCAACAAAAACCAAAGGTAAAAACATTGACCCGTTGTCTATGATGCTACAAGAACCAGGGGTATAAAGTTGGTTGACGCCACACCCTCGAATGATTAAAAACGAGAATGACAAGTCAAGGTAGAATGCCACAAGAATAATCTTGATAAGTTCTATAAAATTCTGAAATGAACCAAACAGAAAAGTCTCTCAAAAACTCAAATTCAATAGCTCCCCCAATTAGGGTTACAAGCCCTTTAAATAGGGAAAAGTAATTCTAATTAGAATAGGAAACTAACAACCTAAGCCCTAAGCCCTAATCCTAATAATCACGAATTGGGCCTCAAATAAATAAATGTTCAGCCCAAAATAATACAAAAAATGTGAAAATCATTGAAAGTAACCTAAAGTAACATGAAATATCAGTTTGTTACAAATTGCGACAGAATTGTAGGATTTTGACACAAACTGTGTAATTTAGCATAAATAACCTCAATTAAACTTCTCTTGAACCTAAATGATGTTTACCATGCCTTGATAATCATCCAAACTTCAATTTATTTGTTGCATATTGTTATCAAACCAAATCTGCTCAATAAGGCCATTTAAAGCTTTTCACATTTTCTTAACTCTAGCTTTTGTGACTGGACCTCTTGAAATATGTAATGGATCTCTTGAGATGGTACATGTGGGGTCATCTTGATTCCCATAATTTTTTTTTTGGTTGAAATGAAATTTATTATATTGTTAAATTATTAAGTTATGTTAAGATTTTATAAGATTTTAGCAGAGTGTGGCATTAAGTGGAAAAGGGGAAAAAATGAAACATGATATTTTGAGTTTTTCAAAAGAAAAAAATTACAATATTTGGCGATGTTAAGAAAAATGAAATGTATTAGGTGTTAGAAAAAGAATGATTTAGCTTTTTTTTTTTTTTTTTTGTTTAAGGGCTTTGGTTGCTTTCCAAAATTTTAGGATTTTCAACAGAAATTTAATAAAAAAAAAAAAACTAACAATAAGATTAGTTTTGGTAATTTTAAAAAGGTTTAGGATGATTTTTGGTCTAAACAAAGAGTTGAAATAATATCTAATGTTTACAATTAAAGTTATGAATTAAATTTGGTATTTACCCTTTAAATAATAATTTTTCCTGCCTTCCTTTCAATAGAATTTTATTTTAATTTGATTTCAATTACTTTAATTATATTTCAATATGAACTCAATTACATTTTTAATAGTAATCTTTTTATATTCTTTTTTAATATTACATTTTCAATAACAAAAAAGAAGTAGAATCAAGTAAAAATTCAACTCATCTTACGATTTTATTATATTATATTAAAAAATTATTAAAACATTCAACAAATTCCTAATAAATATTCAATGACTTTTTAAAATCTAAATTCAATTATGTTTTACTATGTTATATATTGCATATTAATCCCTCTCTTAAAAAAAAATTAAAATCTC